ATAATTTAAAATCGAACTTTCAGAATCAACAAGAGATAGCGAGAATGGCGTATTTTAGACTGTTTATAAATTAGAGTGGTCCGGAATTTTGATAGCTAGTGGTTTAGATTAGAATGATATAGAGTTCCGTGATATTCAGCGGTTCAATATATGAACTAGATACAGATATCACGAACTACGTATATATGGTAGTAAGGTATAGTTATTTACTTTGCATGATTTCACATACACGGTACATATATATTTACACGTTTACGTGTTGTAGTGATGTGTCTCTTTTAACTTCTTTAAAAAGTCATAGCCTTCTTCTGAATCATACAAAGTCTTGTTTATCGTGTCAGGGATTTTAGTGGATTTTTTGTTTTGATTTCTTTTCAAGTTTAAAAAATAACTGCAATATTTCACCATTCAGTATGTGATAATTCAAGCCACTGATAAAGATGCTCGTAGTCGGTCTATTTTAGTACGGTCCAATGGGTGATGAGATTGGTGTATCCCGACATATTCAAGAATTATTGAAATTAGAAAAGCTCAAACTTCAAACTTCAAGTTCTAACTCAAAGCAGAAAACTAGGACATCGATATCGGGCAAATCTTGCTCAAGACATTTTTTTAATACTGGAATGATTGGTCAAAGTTTTTTTCAGATAAAAGCAAAACCATTTCAGTCCGAAATTCCAGAGTCCGGACACTATAATATAAAATTGACCAGCTGTCTCGACTCTTGACTTTGAGTCTCGACTCTCGAGTTCTCGACTCTCAAGAAGAAGTCGCTCAAAACTCCACTCTTCAGATTTCAGGGGTCAAACCATTAGACCTAAGACACTTGGCTTGGGTCAGACCGTCCGTCACAGTGGCAGGCAGCTGGGGGTCTGCCGGCTTGGCAGCCTGTGGCTGGGTGATGAGGGCTTGGGACATCTGACTCCTGAGGAGTGACTGGTCAATGTAATTTGTATTTTGGGGATAGTGGCTCCGAAGTTTCAGGTTTGAAAGCACTCAACAAAGTCTCAAACTTAAAAAAAGACTTCAAAGACAAACAGGTTCTCAAACTTTTGGGTATTTTTTTTATAATGGAGGACACCGGACAGCAGCCAGTCGGATTCCCGGTGCAGAGGAAGTCAGGATTCAGGAAGGGCAGGCCCCAGGCCCAGAGAGGCGGTTTTATTTATTTATATATTATACATAATTTTCGGTTGGTTAATAAAAAACTAACCTCGAATTCAGAAAAACATTGGTTTATATATTGTACCAATGAATATTCTTGTATTTTCGTGTCTTATATTACATTCTTAAAAAACTTTGACCCGTTTTGTATATATATATATATATAATTTTTTTTTTCTTCCAAATATTTATTTACAAAATTTATAAAACTGGTTAATTTCTGGCTTAACGTCTGGCACGAGGGCAGAGGCTCCGCCGCCTCGAGGTTATATCAAAAAAGCTAGTTTATATATAAATTTGGTCCACGCTCTTGCTGGTCCTGGACACATTGGACATTGCGCCGATTAGGGTCGTTTGTTCACTTTGTGACTATAAATAAAACAGGTATTCCTGGTTGCCCTATGCTACAAAAGTTGTCACAACATTCAAATTCAAGTGAATTCGGTCCACGCCTTTGCTGATCCTAGTCATATTGGACATAACGGCTTATATTTATTTATAGAGAGATAAAGGAATTTTAGCACATGTCAACTTAGATTGATCTTCTCAACAACGTGGAAGATTGTGCAATTTGATTCGATGTACCATAACGATAGTTTTTTTTAAAAGAGGTATTTATATTCGAGGCTGCTTCGAATCGACAGTCGACACTTTCAAATTCAATTATTTTATAGATAAATGCTGTGCGGCCCATTTGGTATTATATTTGAGACCACGCCGTATACTCATCGCTGACCAACCACTTCTCTAGAAGTAGATTTATCAATAGCATTGGGCGCACAACCGCCTCATGCCTCTCTGGCCACCACTGCACACTGCGTCTGCGCACTGTGCACATTGCACAGTCGCACACCTCTTGTAGTTTTTTTAAAGACTATGCGTAGCCAGCCTTCTTTATATAAAAAACCCCAGAAATAGGGTTTTTTATAAAAAACAAACAAAAATCCAGTTGATATCAATAGCGCAGAGGTGTCAGTACTCAGTTGTCACGCTTCGCCTTCTTGATTTTGTCTCATTCAGAAGGCTATTACATACCTCTTGATATTCTGCTGCTCTTGATCGTAATACAACTTCTTTGAAGCGTCGATTTGTATTGGATATTGCTACCGATTACAGCATCCTAAGAATGCTACTGATTACAGGATCCTAAAAACAGGTTGGTGAATGGTCTTATCAGACAAGCCTCTGGAGTCAGGAGATTAACTACACAAATAGTCTTTTCAAAACTATAAAATGCAAGGACATGCTGGTGGTTGTTGTACACTTTTAAATTTTGAAATTATTGAGGAAATATGGATTTCATTCAAGTGATCGACGACGCTGTCGTCAATGTGCTGCCAGAACACTCGTTCACATGGATCTTCGTACTGTCATTGATCTTCGCGTTTGCCGCGGCATTTGGTATCGGAGCCAATGATGTGGCCAATTCATTTGCCACGGCCATTGCGAGTCGTACACTCACCCTTCTCACCGCTTGCATAATCGCTGCTATCGCAGAGTTTGGTGGCGCCGTCCTTCTTGGAAACAGTACTTCAGATACCATCCGTCAAGGCATCGTAGACGTTGATTTGTACGCTTCTCGTCCTGATTTACTGTTGCTTACGATGTTTGCTGCGTTGGTGGGCATGTCAGTGTGGCTGATTGCTGCCACCCTACTAGGAATGCCGGTATCCACAACACACTCGATTATCGGTGCGGTGATTGGTGCTGGTATCGCGTGCTTTGGGGTAGATGCAGTTCAGTGGGGCTGGGACGGAGTCGGAAAGATTCTTGCGTCCTTCGTTATCTCACCCGCTATCGCCGGTTCGTTTGCTGCAATTGTATTCATGATCACCAAGTACACTATCTTGATCTGGCCCAACTCGACAAAGCGAGCCATCTATTCAACACCTATATACGCAATGGGCACAATGGGTCTAGTTATGTCGTTTTGGGTGTACAAGGGGTCGCCCAGTTTGAACCTGGACGAGAAGTCCATAGGTGTCCAGTTAGCTATCATTCTGGGGTCAGTAGGTTTCACGGGACTGATCTCTCTAGTGGTTGTCGTGCCCTGGTTGCTCAAAATCACCAAACAAATGGACCAAGAAGAGCGCACGGAGTCTAAGGACAATTCCAATCGTGCCGAGGCCACACTGAATGGCTCCAATACTGGGGATGCGGCGCCTGTCGATCTGCCACCCACTGCCGCTGTTAATAGTCGCACGAACATGAATGCGAGTGGGGATCAGCCTCCACCTTTCACTGTAGCAGAGTTAACAGATGGTGAAAAAGAGGAGAAGACAGCAGGTGCAAACAAGATCGCCATTGCACAGAGAACTCTGAATGTAGATGTAGATGCTCTCACTGATGGCTTATCGACCAAAGACGGAAGGGCAACTCACCAGCCAAATGAGTACGACCTGTGGTTGGTGAAACACACTCATCGCCGCGAATACTACCACGGCCTAGACGGCTGGAAGGCTAAGTGTAAGTGGATATTCAGCACCAGAGAAGGCATGTGGTTTGGACTGGACTCCACTGTTCTGTGGGGAGTCCGTCAGGATGTCTGCCATGACAGCGACGAGGATATTCAAGCTCTGCATGAAAGTGCTTTCCAATACCGACCTTCTACGGAGGTGACCTTCAAGTGGTTACAGGTTATGTCATCATCGTTCATGTCTTTTTCTCACGGAGCCAACGATGTCGCGAATGCGATTGCGCCTCTAGCGACCGTGTTCGCCCTGTGGTCGAGCGGTGCTAGCGGACTTGACGGTACGACGTCAAAGCAAGAAGTCCCTATCTGGATCCTTGTCTTCGGTGGTGTGGCTATCGATATCGGATTGTTCTTGCTCGGCTGGAAAATTGTGTATGCCCTTGGTAACAACATCACATTCCACTCTCCCTCGCGCGGGTTCTCGATGGAGATGGGTGCAGTTATCACCGTGCTTATGGCCACATTCCTGGGTATCCCTGTATCAACCACACACTGCATTACTGGTGCGACGGTAGCGGTTGGTCTCTGCAATGGCGATGCCAAGAGCATCCATTGGATGCAGGTGCTCCGAGTGCTGTCTGGTTGGATTCTGACGCTTCCCGCGGCCGGATTGGTCTCGTATGTCGTCTTCGCGATCATGGCGAATGCCCCCAACAGAGAATATGTTGGTGTGTATGTGCCTGCCAATTCTACCGTGGTGACATTTTAGGTAGGACCCTTTGGCACCCAGTAGAATCGACATTGAAGCAAAATAATTAGTATCACACAAACCTAGCGTTGTACGAACAACAAGCTAATTAAAACTCGAATCTTAGCTCACTTACCCGGTCCGCGAAGCAACCCAATTCATGATGATCACGTGGTGTCTGTGTAGACCTTTCTAAATATGCTCTTCAATGGGGATAAGCGGGTCATCGCCGGTAAGCTCCGTTATTAGTTTGTTTCATGACTTTTAATACGGCATTCGGTAACAATATTAACTAAGTGGCCGGGATTATAGCTTTGAACACAAACGGGCCTTCGATATTATAATTCTTGAGTGGAGTGCGTTTGCTTGCGTGCTTATCGTTCTATTTGACACACGTACTTCGTATTTCATACACGGCAATAGAATGACATGTCGCGCGGGAGTGCTGTTTCCTGTTCGAGTTAGTTAGTTATGCACAACGACAGCATTCTAGTGTCGTTAATTGACATACTTTCAACAAAACGTCATACGCTTCCGAGACAAGGTAATATACTACTGCAATGTTCGATTCATCGAAGCATTTCACTTGGCTTTCGCAATTGCTCACGTAGGTTTAAACGCGCAAACATTCAAACACACAACAAGAATATAAACACACCCACTCGCGACGCGTACATCTGTCAATATGTTGATATGTGTGGTTTCAATGACTTCACGAGCATTACATACTACACACACATGTTTTCTAACTTTGTTTATATATAAAACTATACATACATAATCCGCCCAACTATTATGTGCAGCCATGGAAGATAATTTACAAATTGACATATGTATCATTTGGGGATGGCTACATATATCTCTATACCTACAGGACTTCTGATATATGCTCGACGTATGAGACCGTATATAGGACAAGTGGGTATATCACACCCAATATTGACTGGTGCATCACACTACAACACCAAGTACTGTTTCTAGCACGATAGCTGTACCGCAAGCAGGACCATACTTCGTATAGCCGTATACGGTGGCCACCAAATAAACCACTTCGTCACGCCCACAATCGTCCGGATACTTCTGCCACAGAATACGATACAGGAGAGGCAGACGTCCTTGTGGGCAGTAGATGTATTGCTGGCCAGTGATGTAGTTGTTATACCACAATACGCTTACCCAGTTGCGTTCCCTTCACGGGTATAATGTATTGCTTATCCTATACTGGTGTAATGTATTGCTGATCCTTTACTGCCAATGTGATTGGCGCGTGGCCAAGCCTGATATGAGTGCGAAACCCCACAGTGATAGGGGTCGTACACAAAAATAACTATGTAACACAAAAACAACTATGTAACACGAATCAACTGTCACACAAAACAACTATGTAACACAAAACAACTATGGAACACAAAACAACCATGTAACACAAACAACTATGTACTACAGCACAGCGCGGCTGGAGTGAGGAATAAGAAGAGCTATTCACAACACATCGAGAGCATCCAACTTTATTTCGTAATCGATTGTGTGGTTCTCAGGGGCGTGGCTGGCTCAAAGTTATCCATGTCACGCACATCGGTATGTCTCCGTTGCCTTGGCTGCCACCAGGGGCGTACTATACAATTCAGGCCATACAATCCAGCTATAAAATTCAGCCATACAATTCAGCCATACAATATAGCTTGACCACGGGATTAGCTACAAGCAATATGCTACCTACTCACCATTCATACATGTACATGTGCAATATATGGTAGCTACAGTTGACCTGCCTCCCCATTCATACATATACAGGCGCACTATATGATAGCTGTGGTCCATTCATACATGTACAGGCACACTATATGATAGCTATGGTCCATTCATACATGTACAGGCACACTATATGATAGCTACGGTTGACCTGTCTCCCCATTCATACATGTACACGTGCAATATATGATAGCTACGGTTGACCTGTCTCCCCATTCATACATGTACAGTCGCATGATATGATAGCTACGGTTGACCTGTCTCCCCATTCATACATGTACAGGCGCACTATATGATAGCTACAGTTGACCTGTCTGCCCATTCATACATGTACAGGCGCATGATATGATAGCTACGGTTGACCTGTCTCTCCATTCATACATGTACAGGCGCACTATATGATAGCTACGGTTGACCTGCTATGCTCGTGCTGCTGTATCTGTTTATCGAGCACTACAGAGGCCGCTTGCCTGTCTGCTCTCATATCTCGAATGTCTGTTCCATATGTATACAGGCCGATGTACTGCCGCGCGCGTGTCAGGCGTACGTCGTGTTGGTATTTTTGGCGTGATCCTTATTTTGTCATATGACGGAATAGTGTGGAGCAATAAGAATGTATTACAGATCACACCAGCCTGTCTGTTCTCATCCCCCGAATGTCTATTCTATGTGTATACAGGCCAAAGTACTGCCGCGCGCGTGTCAGGCGTACGTCGTAGTTGGTATTCGGCGAAATTCATATTCTGTCATATGACAGAATAGTGTGGAGTAGTAGCAGTGTACTACAGATCACACCCCTCTCTCGTCTATGCGAAACGGGCTGCCCGGGCGGTCCAAGTCGTCGCTGTTCTGGTGCCCCTGTCCTCTTTGGTAACACTTTGGGGCGTAGGTAAGAAATAAAGGCAGAGGCAGTAACCACACCTCCTACCAACACAAGTAGAAAGCACGTGCAAGTAATTGTCTTGCGATGTTCGGAACAATTTTCGCTGATCGAGTTGTGTATGTCATAGCGCACCTACACTGATCTGAGTGCTATCCCACCACATTCATAGAGTCATCAAAAGAGTCCTGGAAGGAGATAACAGAGTAAGAATAAGTGGCGTGTTACGAAACAACATCCATCTATATGTGTATATAAGAACAGCTAAACGTATATCCAAGAACCATTACGAATCAGTGTACGCCAGGAGGGTTCAGATTTGTAACCAACAAGGGACCTAAGGATGTAACCATAAACATGGAAGTATCGTATAGTTCGTAATGAGCCACGATAAACACACAATATATATATATATATATAAATGAATAAATAAATGAATAAATAAACAAATAAATATATATACATACATACATATATATATATATTATATATATATATATATATACACACACACACACATATATATATATANATAGATATATATAGTATA